TTCCGGCTGCCCTGGCGGCGCCCGGGGGGTTCGCTGCAGGAAAAAAATCCCCCCTTGCTGCATGAGTAAAACTTCTCATCTTCCCGCAGGCTGGCGGTGGGGAAGGGGCGCCCAGCGCTCGCGTCTCGGGTTGTGTTACATTAAAAATCAATCTCCTTGCAATTCGTCTGCTCTGTCATTAGGCGTCATTGTAAAGCTATTTCTCCAGAAACCACCAAAAGAGAGGTTCCTGACGGTCGGGGAAAACAGAGTGTACACAGAAAGAGGGAGGAATTGGGGATTTTATTTGGATCAAATGCAGAATGATACTCCTTTCGGGCGACTATTCCCACTGCAAACGTTAACTATGAAAACGCTTCACTAAGCCCTCGTTGCTGTGTTGTCAAACCGTTTTTTTTCTGTAACGCCTTGAGATTAAGGTTACGTTAAGCTGCGTGCTGGTCCTCGGGTCCAGAGACAACCCGCGCCGTCGGCACCCCCGGAAAGCAGCTGCTCGGCCCTGTGACCAAAGGTAAGGCGCTGCGCTTGGCCGCCGTGGCCCCGCAGGCTGGAGAGCTGCCCAGGCTCCGCTTCCAGAACCTGAACGGATCCATCGCTGCTCGCCAGAGCCACGATACGACCTGAAATTCAAAGGAAAGTTATCGAGGCTTGCAAAGGCAAAGCGCGAGAGAGCGAGCGGCACGGGAAGTTTTGAGATCGTTCCTTTATAGCCACCCACATTTTGCATACTGCTGTTTTCTAAGGTAAATAAATCATCAGAAAGTTGGGCAGATCAATAATAATGAGATTGGATTTCGGAGTGATTGAGTGAATCTGGAGGCCCGGGCACTCAGGAGCACAGCTATTTTACTTCTTATTTGGATGCAGTTGTTCAGGGCCAGATTCTGACACGCAGGCAGAGCACTGGAGACGTAGATGCTCTTCTGATACGCAGAGGTATCAGCATCAGACCATACCCGTAACGCTGCTTTTCTTGTACAGCACTGCAAGAAACGACAATGCAGGTTTTCAACTGAAATTCAGGGAGGTCAGGCATCATAACTGAACTGAGTGCCTTGCTCCCTTATATCCTTATGGAAAAAACAACCATAGTGGAATTGTTAGTACAGAACTGGGCCTAACAAACAGTAGAAGAAAATAAAAGAAAACCTAAAAAAGGTTCTAAGGAGTTCCCAGTTTCCATCTGCTTATTTATGAACCAAACAGACTCAGTTTTCATCACTCTCAAGGAGGCAGAATGTGTTTATAAGTTTATTACCTTCCTGCTTAAATAAAAGCAGAGGTAACAGCTGGTAAGCAATACCTTTGAAGCACCTTTTACTTATCCAGCCACCAGATAAAGACTCTCCCCTTTTAGAAATTACTATAATAATCACGAGTTTCACATAAAAAGAAAAAAATAGAGGATCGATACGTTCATTCCAAAGCTGACGCGGCCCTCCCAACAACGGGATCATTGTACTGCCAGTCATGATCTTGGTCAAACACCTTGTTCTATTATGAGCAAGTTCAATATACCCTCCAAATTATTACAGCTCCTTTTGTGTATCAGGATTCTTCCCTCTGAAAGCAAAGGCATCACCAGTGGAGGAATAATTAATACTGACACCGACAAAGTCAATCTGTCACCAAGGTCATAATTTTTGGGAAGATTATGAAAAACAGGCGATAACGTTGCTATTTTTAGGCATGCAGGTTATTCAGCAAGTATTGCCCAGCAGAAGTTAGTATGGAGGAATCTGTCCTAACGTTAATAATACGCAAGCCACAGGGCCTTGGGTGTGCCTATGCGATGTATAATTTATCCCGGGAATATATTGTCCCTACATTCAAACTGATTCATAACAATGATGTTCTTCGCTCTGCTCATCGAGATCCGATGGCTTCATTTGACAGCCCGGGAAGTAAACAACTGCCATTTTCTCCATTTATCACAGGAAACACATAGGCTAAAACACCCTACAAATGCACCAAGAATATTTAATCACAAGTTATGCTTAGCGTGGTCATGGGTATTTGTGCAAGAAAGGGAACTAGAAAGTAGAGCTAACCATGATAAATATGCTCTATTTGCAAACCTTTATAACTAGCCGGCTTCTTCATCTAGAACAAAGCCTGACACAGCAAAGATCTGTAGGATGGATTAGAGTGTCCAAAGCAGCAGATGTGAATATTTATTATAAACTCCCTTCCAGCAAGTCTTTGCTGACAGAAGCATTGCATATGGATTTCACTTGCAGCCAGACTCGCCAGGCATGCGCCGGGGTGACTTCTCCAGGAGCCAAACAAATGCCATTTTGCCTGGAGCCCTGACACCGCAACAGCTGGGCAGGGGGTTAATGTCACTTTCAGCTTCTCCAAACCAGTAACAAACCCCCTTGTTACAAAGAGAGAGGGATGGGAAGGAGAAAAGATTTGGACAACTGCAGTTCACTTCCAGAAAGTAAGGGCAGGACAGACTGGCAACTGAGACAACGGCTCCAATGCCTAATTCACACACACACACCCCAGTTTGGCAGCAGGGCAGGAGTGGATCCCAACGCTGCATTTTTCTAAACTCTTTGCTAGGTAAGTCATACGCCTGAAGCAAAACAACAGCTCTCTCATCCCATCAGTCCATGCCAACATTCCGACAGCATCAGGAAATGACAAAACCAATAGGAAAATAGAGAGGGAGAATAAAAACCAACTAGCTAGGAGGTGCAGTAGTAAACTGCACGTGCCTTCATCGCTAGTACTCGCTGGGGCAAGGGCTTAGGTGTATGAGGCAGCCCCGGTGAAGAAGGATTCATTTCCCACGAATTTTTTTTAGCTGCGTTATCATGTGTTACTATCGTTGACTGTGAGTACAGCCACTTCCTCGCTCGGAGGCAGCAGGATGCACAGGCAAACCGTGGGAGGGGGAACGAAAGGGGAGGGGAAGGCATCAGATGAGAACATCTCATTTCCGTCACCCTTTATGTCAACACTGATCTACGCGCTCATAACAATTTGCTCATTATAATGTAAATTTACTCCCTCCTTCCTTCCAAAAGGAGATGTTTCGTTTTGGAAAGAGGGAACAAATTGTGGTTTATTGCTCTTTCAAAATGTTCTCCAATTAGGAAAGCAAACAAAAACTATTACATAATTGTCATGCAAAGCTCTGCTTTTATGAAGGTTACTTACTTGTACATTCACAAAGGCACTTTGATACAACACTCGAGGGAAGATAAAAGCCTGGAGATAAATTTTTCTTCATACCTTTGACCAAACTGTTAGGTGGGGCTGGTCTGTGCAAACTCACTGAACACGGCGGTTACGCTGATTTGCATTGAAATGAACAGTTTCTGCTTAGAAGGTGCAAGGCCTTGAAGACTCCAACCTCTAAATCTCAGAGCCTCTAGATCTCCAGCTCCAAAGAACCCGCTCTGGATCTGCTGGTGCACCTTCCGGAGGGGCAACGCAGGGAGCTAAAATGAAGCTTTGCTCTGGCTGGCCCCACACCAGTCCTGAGCTCATCCTTCTTCCTCAAACAGGCAGACAGGAGTGATGACAAAGCACATTGCCATGAAAAAGAGACCCTACAGTAGTAGCCTTTGTACTAATTACAGCTGATTTGCTGTTGCCCATTGCTAGAACATAGGTACTAATTTTATTGATGTACCCCTGTTATGTCCTTAGAATAACATAAGCTCTGACCATCTGGTCACTTGCTTCAAAAAGGATGCAGTGAGTTAGAAAAGGTAGAGAGAGGAAGGCAGCAAAGGCTATGAAAGGTATAAACAATGTCTGTGCAAGGAATCATTAAGAGGGATGACAACTCACCCCAGAAAATACTATTTGCACACTGAAATGTACTTGCCTGATCGTGCTTTCTCCATATGCAAACCTCAAGCTTCACACAGCCCATGGTTATCACTGCTGTTTCCCTCCCTGGAGACCCACAGAGAAATCCAGAGCTGAGCCAGACCCCAAACTACCACCCAGGCAGCATGGATGAAACGGGGTTTCCATCAAAATGCTGGTCTGAATTCCAGCTAACCTGGGAGCTGCGAGGCAGCCGGAGAAGCTGTCAGCAGCACAGCATGGGACGTGGTATTTCTGAACAGTCACCTTTCTACTTGGGCAAAACTGAATTTCCTCTGAGCGATCAGTGCACTTCAGCTCCCTTTTATTCCCCAGCATTTGAGTAAGCTACCACTGTAGGTTTCCAGTCCCAGTGTACTACAGAGAAAAAACTCTGTTCCTAATCTCATGCGCACTACCTTGCCAGGCTGCCATTTCCAGACTGGCAGTGCTCTTGGTTTTAGGCATTGATTAATTACAAGTGCAGTGCTGTTGTTTGGGCTGGAAACACATTTGTACTTAACAAAACAATAAAAATCACTCATGTCCCTCTAGAAAAACTATTCCCGATACTAAAACCATATCCCTACATTGTTTTGAGACCAGAACTGAACCCTAAAATCAATTAGTACCTCAAAAGATGCGATTACTTTTAAGACATGTACCCCACTTTGGAGAATGGGGTAATTAAAATGAGTTATCTTGTATGGAAATCTGGGCCTTTAAATTTTCCAAATGTATGTAAAGTTACGGCCCTAAGAAAGGCCATAGCCATGAAGTGTGAAAGGCAAGAATCTGGAAAAAAAAAAGAAGTCATTTTACTGGAGTCTCCACACTGGCCTAACACGTGAGCTTAAAATCAAAGTTATTGCATTCAGTGAAGCTCAGTTAGGTTACATATAAGTAAGCAACAAGCTCTTTCTCATCTGCAAGGAACTTTGCATACTTATGTAAATACTAACAAACCCAAAGCCACTCATGTGAATACAATATGAAATACATCTCCTTATTTGAACTGGTGGGTAAATTTAAAATAGTGCTGGTATGTTGAAGCAATCTAATTTGTTACTGCATTTCTTCAGAAGACAAAACTAGACAAGATTAATTTGCTGGGTTGATGGAACAAAGCTACTTGGGGTAGAGGGAACAAAACAAAGACAGTTTGACAATTTATATTCCGTGAGAGCCTAACAGAAATCACAGCTGTGATTACCGTCTTCTTTGTAAAATGAATTTTGAGTGAAACCTTGCCAAGATCACATTAAGTACTGCTTTATTTGTTTGTGCGTCCAAACAGCTGGAAACAGTGACATCTTTGGATTGGGAAAGCCTAAAAAGCAGACCAGCTTACTGGTGTTAGGCTCACAGTCAATCAACAATGTTGGCCAAAGCCTTAAGATTTCATCTAGAGTAGTCTAGCAGCTTAAATGTTAATAAAATAGTATTGTACAAAAGTCACAAACTCCACATCTTACCGTAGCATATGAGGCTGACATTCACACTGATAACTAGCACTGTTTGTTACCTCGGAATTTTTTTTTTCCCCATAGACTCAGAAGCTAACATTAACTCTTTTGCTCAGATCCAGAGCAGAACAAGAACAGTGAAATATTGGAAACTCTCCTGTCTGTTCCAGCAGCTCCTGCTCTCAGAGCAAACAGACTAGTTGAGGTGCTGGACTTGGACAATTGCTTCTAACAAAAGTACGGCAGTTATTTTAGACTTTCTTGTATGTAATTCAGATATAGTAACTTTCCCAGTTTGAAAATACGTGCACTTCCTAACCATAAGC